GAACCAGGGCCTGTGATCTAGCAACTTCTGCTAGTTGCCAGAAGAAAGCCTCCTGCCCTCTGAACCCCTTGGTCCCAGCCCGGAGCACCCTTGTGCACCCCCCAAGCCCTCATCCCCATCTCAGAGCCTCACCTCCAGCCGGAGCCCTCCACCCCCCAATTTTGTGAGCATTCATGGCCCGCCATACAATTTCCATACCCAGATGTGGCCCTCTTGCGAAAAAGTTGCCCCTGGGGTATAGTGTGATACGTAGGTTATTATTGCGGTGTTATTGTAGCCATGTTGGTCCCAGGATATTAGAGACACAAGGTAGGTGAGTTAATATCTTTTATTGGACCAACAGAACACCTTGTTCTGATCATGGTAATTCTTATATTCAGTCTGAGTTTTAAGCTATCATTCTCCCATAGATGTTTGGATAAGTTTGATTTTTTTTTTCCCCTCTGGCCCTAACCTAGGTTTTACTCAGTGGAGGTGTGGACTCAACAGTGTGTACTGCTCTCCTGAACCAGGCTTTAAACCAAGACCAAATCATAGCTGTACACATAGATAATGGATTCATGCGCAAGAGGGAAAGTCTGTCTGTGGAGGAGGCACTCAAAAAACTTGGAATTCAAGTCAAAGGTACTGTGTTTCATGTTACTTATACTACATGTAAATGAGGGTAGTATGGCTAGTCTTCTAAAAGAAAATCCATAATCTTACAATTAATCATAGTTTTATTGTCTAATGAAACTGCGTGTGAAATTTTGAGAATTTAAATATCAAAATGTAGTTACTAGTACTATATGTACTATAATTATATGTACTGTATATGTACTATATATGTATTATATGTTCTATAATTATATGTATTACAATTATTTAATATTAGGGTACTCCCCAATGATCCAAATCAGGACTGAGGCCACATTGTGCTAGTCGTACAAAAATGCATAGGAAAACACAAGCCCAGAGCCAAATAATTTAAAATATAAGTTTAAATATATAGATTCTAACTTACAAATTCGTGATTTCCATCGATGTGTGAAAAATGATGTCCTGAACTGAGAGAGTAAACCATTTCACCAGTGGCACATATGTGATTACAGCTATTGAGGAATTGTATGACAGTTGGCATTTGCCTCAACCATCAGTTCCTTTTCTTCCCCTGGCAAATGAGTCCATTGCCTTCAGCCAGGGCCGGCTCTAGGCACCAGTGCAGCAAGCAGGTGCTTGGGGCGGCCAACGGAAAGGGGCAGCACGTACGGCTCTTCGGCGGCGGGTCCTTCAGTCCCTCTCGGAGGGAAGGACTTGCCGCCGAGGAATGAAGCGGCGGCGGTAGAGCTGCCGCCGAAGTGCCGCTAATCGCGCCTTTTTTTTTTTCCGCTGCTTGGGGCGGCAAAAATGCTGGAGCCAGCCCTGCCTTCAGTGGTTGCAGTTCCCTATTCATATGAAGCAATTTTTTCTTATTGAAGAGTTTAGCTCTCAGTTCTGTAGCTAAGTATTAATTGTTTAACTTTGTAAGCCAATTTGCATGTGTGATACCTTTCTGATTTCAAATTTTTTTTAATAAACAAGTTTCTTTTTGAGGTGTGTGTTGTACCGATGGCTTCTGGGGAGCCTTCTTATTTATTTTAACCTATTTTCAGAAAAGCTGGCTGGGAAGCATCCTGGGGGTTACAAGCAGTACATTATGAGAGATCAGAAGGTATCCCTTTTGGCCAATAAGGTCTCAGCTTGTTTCTCCTCAGAGATATGATGGGATCAGAGGAGACAAATGATGCATATCAAAGTTAGGCAGTGAAGTATCACATCATTCATACTGTTCACATAAAATCATGTAATTCGTGAGTAGCTTTTGCATATTGATAAATCTGGCAATGAATACTATTGTGTCTAATGACTTTTTATGCTCAGATTGTCAAGGCATCTGGTAACATGGTATATGTTAGACAACACATTCAGTTAAACTGCCAGCAGTGAACAGTGCAAAGAGCTGCAACCTCTGTACCTTCCATCTCATCACAAGGAAAACCTTACCCAATATAGTCTAAGCTTTGTCCATCCATAGTTGATTCAATGTTTCACCAAGAGTAATTGTATGGTGGAATAGATTAGTAAGGGAGGTGGATGAAATACCCTCATGTCAGATAATCCTTAAATGAGTGAGTGCTTGAGTAGCCCTGTAAAATGCAGAGTATCTGAAGATATGACCTCCAAGTGATCTTTTTAAAGTAATAGACTTATTTTCTGCAATCCTGTTTAGTATTATATATTGATTTTGTCAATACATTTCTGTATTTTGTGCAGTGGTAAATGCAGCCCATTCATTCTACAATGGTACAACAACTCTGCCAATCTCTGATGAAGACAGAACTCCCCGAAAAAGAATTAGCAAGACTTTAAATATGACTACAAGTCCTGAGGAAAAAAGAAAAATTATTGGTGACACGTTTGTGAAGGTAATCGCTTTATAGTTATTTTAGCATTTAAAAGGGACACTGTCAATTAAATATTTTTTTAAATGCAGTCTTACTCCACTCAAGAGAGACTTTCTCAGGCAATGTATGCTTCAGGACATCAGCTATCACGTGTGTTTTGGCATGTGGATGTTGGACATAGGTGAGGATAGAATGTAGGACATCTTGCTCCAGAGCCCAGGCCTCTAACACATAACTTCAAGGAGAATCTGGTAGCTGAAGCAGAATTAGGTTTGCCACTGATCATAGTGTGATGGTTACAAACAGTTGAGTAGATCTTCTATTCTGTCCACTATGCAGCTTAGTGGCTGACTCACGTATAAAGGCTAATATACATTGCACAAGCTTTAAAAATAACATGCTTTTACCAAATGGCAAATGACTAACTTGATAGTTAATATCTTGATTTTGGTGTGTTTTTATAATGCGTCAACTTGCAGCCATTTTAACTTCTGTTTTATCATTAATGATTCAGGGAGGATGTGTACCTGGCTAAGAAGCACTGTTACTATTAGTGGTAATTCAAGTGTTTAAAAATATATATTTATTTTTATTAATCATTCAGCTAAATACATAACAGACAAATGTGGTGCAGGAGTTTTGGCTTCCCCTTTTCAGGAATAGAGTATTATCACAAGCAATCTTCTTATTAATCCGTGTTGGTCTGAAGCAGAGGGGATTGCAATTCACTAGTCCTTTAAATATGTTTGCAAGATGATTTTGGATCCCTCAAGATCAATGTAAAACATTTATTTTTTCCCTCCATATTATAGATTGCCAATGAGGTAATTGGAGAAATGAATCTGAAACCTGAAGAGGTCTTTCTTGCTCAGGGAACCCTAAGACCTGATCTCATTGAAAGTGCTTCCCTTGTTGCAAGTGGCAAAGCTGAAGTAATAAAAACTCATCACAATGACACAGAGCTGATCAGAAAGCTGAGAGAAGAGGTAAATAAAAAATGAGAGTATCACATTTATTTTATTTTTGGTGTAACCCAAATCTGAAGTTAAATGTGAAAAAACAAATATTATGTATACCTTCCTATCAATAGAAATGTTGACACTAGGGAGGCTTTGTACAGAGCCCCGTGTGATGGGGCCCTATTTTGGTCACGGCTTTTAGGTGTTACTGTAATATATATGTGGCTGTAATTAATTTACTCTTCATCTTTCTAACTTCCTGGTTCTCTTAAAGTAATTTTGGTGGGTTGAGTATTTGGGCAATACTGAATAGTTGGGGAAAATATTCACAAATTGTCAATTTGATGAATTTCAGCATGAATGATTTTGTTCAAAAATTCATATAAAATTTTGCTTTTCATCATTCTCCCATTTTAAAAATCGTTTCCCAAAAAGGGAGCAGAAACAATACCATGTGTTTTAGGTGGAAAGCTAATTTGGATAGGCTTCCCAAACAAGCTGGATCCATCCCGCCTTCAACTCACTAATCAATAGCCCGCCTGCATTCCCAGAGTTCAGCATGCTAACTTTCCAACAAGATCTGGACACTCTCTAAGGGAGCCTTGACCAAAACCTGTGAATCCAACCCATACCTTTCCTGGCTTGTGAAAGAGAGTCATGGGGAATTGGTGCCACTCAGGCCTGAAACAGCCAACCCCTCATTCGAGAAGGAATCTTCCCTTCTCCTTCAAACACAATAGTTCAAACAACTCTTAAAAAACTCAGCCTGGTTCTAGCCCAACTACAGCCAAGTGTCAAACCTTCCATTCTTGAGCAAGCTCATAGAGAAGCTAGCTGAAAGCCACTACTGGTTTATCTAATTGAAGCTATTATCTTAGACTAGCACAGTCTGGATTCAGGCCAGGACATGGAACTGAAACCGCTTTAGTAGTACTGATGGATGATCTGCTGTCAGTGGATAGAGCGTAGACATCCATTTTAATCCTCCTGGACTTCTCTGAAGCACTTGACAGTGTCAACCATAAGATAGTATTCTTGTGCCTGAGAGAGGTAGGAGGGATCCAGGGTAATATACTAAAATGCTTGAATCCTTTCTGGAGGGACTTACCCAAAAAATAGTGATGGGAAATTGCACCTCCACTACTTAGACCCCTCACTTGTAGAGTCCGTAAAGATAAGTTCTCTTTCACTGGTCCCATACAACATATACATGCACCTACTAGATGAGCTGGTCAGACAACATGGATTAAGTGCCAAAAATATGCAGATGATACACAGCTTTACCTGTCCATCACCACATATGACTACAACTCTACCATCAAGATGGCCCAGGGCTTGGATGAAATTAGACCATGGATGAAGAACAGCTGGTTGAAGCTGAACCTGAGCAAGATAGAGATGATGCTGGTCGGCAGAGGAAAGCATTCTGAAGAGTTTCAACCACAGTGCAGTCTCCTAAGGTTGAACACACACACATCCAAAATTTGTCAATTCAGTCCATGGCTTAGGAGTGCTCCTGGATTCCTTATTGACACTAAGCACACTCACAGCAGCATATTAGAGTAATGCTTAGTACCATCTGTTGGCTAGGAGACTCCATCCCATTCTGGCAAGTAGTGACCTGCCCTCAGTTACTCATGCCTTCATAACATCTCAGCTGGACTACAGCGATGCAATATACCTGAGCATGAAGCATTTGGTGCTTAGGAAACTCCAACTGACACAAAACATTACAGCACACCTCTGCAAAAGCTGGCTGCCATGAATGCATCACAGCCATTCTCCTCTTCCTATACAGTAGAACCTCAGCGTTACGAACACTTCAGAAATGGAGGTTGTTTGTAACTCTGAAATGTTCATAACGCTGAACAAAATGTGGTTCTTTCAAAAGTTTACAAATGAACATTGATTTAATACAGCTTTGAAACTTTACCATGCAGAAGAAAAATGCTGCTTTCCCTTTATTTTTTTAGTAGTTTATGTTTAACACAGTACTGTAGTGTATTTGATTTTTTGTTCTTTTTTTTGTCTCTGCTGCTGCCTGATTTTGTGCTTCTGGTTCCAAATGAGGAGTGTGGTTAACTGGTCAGTTCATAACTCTGGGGTTTCTAACCCTGAGGTTCTACTGTACTGGCTTCTCATAGAATATTGAATCAAGTTCAAGGTCTTGGCACTTCACAAGATTCTTGATGGCCCGAGCCCAGGATATTAAAAGATCTTCTAAAGCTCTGGGATGATGACTACGCTTAACAAGTTCACTTCTCTGTCGCAATGGAGTTTTCTTTCATATATGAGCTTTACCCTTAAGGTAGAGACAGAGCTTTCTTGAGGCGTCACCCAAAACTGTAGAATGAATTCCCAAAGGAACTCAGAACCATCTCAAACCTCACCACCTTCCACTCCACATGCAAGGAGCAGTTCTTTAATCTTGCCCTCCCTAGCATAAACATATAGTAATGTGTGTGTGCACACTCATGCCCTTATTTATAATTTTAAAAATATTAAAACAAGACACTCCACTTCATATTAACCTAATTTCCTTCTTTGGCAGGGTTACTGGCCTACTGGGGAAGCAGATGTGATCAGTCTTGATTTTAGTAAGGCTTTTGACAGTCCCACATGACAGTTTCCTAAGCAAATTAGGGAAATGTGGTCTAGATTAAATTACTGTAAATTGGGTGCACAACTGGTTGAAAGACTGTACTCAAAGAGTAATTACCAATCGTTTGCTGTCAAACCGTGAGGGCATATCTAGTGGGGTCCTGCGGGGGTCAGTCTTGGGTCTGGTACGATTCAATATTTTTATTAAGGACTTGGATAATGGAGTGGAGAGTACACTTATACAATTTGCAGATGACACCAAGCTGGGTGAGGTTGCTAGCACTTTGAAGGACACAGTTAGCATTCAAAATGTTCTTGACAAAATGGAGAATTGGTCTGAATTCAACAAGATGAAATTCAATAAAGACAAGTTCAAAGTACTTATGAAGGAAAAGTCAAATGCACAGCTACAAAACTGGCTAGGTGGTAGCACTGCTGAAAAGGATCTTGAAAGTTATAGTGAATCATAAATTGAATGAGTCGTCAATGTGATGCAGTTGTGAAAAAGGCTATCAGGACTGTTGGATCTAAAACACGGGAAGTAATTGTCCCACTCTACTCAGCACTGGTGAGGCTTAAGCTGGAGTACTGTTTCCAGTTCTGGACACGACATTTTAAGAAAAATTGGAGAAAAGCTAGAGGAGAGCAACAAAAATGATACAAGGTTTAGAAAACCTGACCTATAAGGAAAGGTTAAAAAAAAATGGGCATGCCTAATCTTGAGAAAAGAAGACTAAGTGGGGGATCTTATCAGTCTTCCAGTATGTTAAGGGCTGTTATAAAGAGGATGGTGAGCAATTGTTCTCCATGTCTGCTGAAGGTAGAGCAAGAAGTAATGGGCTTAATCTGCAGCAAAGGAGATTTAGGTGAGATATTAGGAGAAACTTTTAAACTATAAGGGCAGTTAAGCTCTGGAATAGGCTTCCAAGGGAGGTTGTGGAATCCACGTCATTGGAAGCTTCTAAAAGGCTGGACAGACAGTTGTCAGGGATGGTCTACATTTACTTGGTCCTGCCTTTGGTGCAGGGGGCTGAACTCGATAACTTCTCATAGTCCCTTCCAGCTCCATATTTCTGTTGATTCCATACTCTTCTCCACCTGGGCAAAGGATAAGAGCACAAACACATGACAGATGTTAGTCATGTTGCTTAATGCATGACTGGAAGGTTCTCAGATACTATATTGATAAATGCAATATAAGAACTATAGAGAATAGGTGACTGACCACACCACACGTATAGTAAATAGTTGATGTGATTGGCCCATAACCTGAAATTTTGTCCGGCGTTTTTGGTGACTAATGAATGTATTTGAAGACTTCTGGGTTGGCTTGTGAATGATTGAACTGAAAAAGCGACTACATTTGTATGGCTCATTCACAACGAATAATTTAACCATCTCTGACTAGAGGCATATCGAGTCTAGCAGCTGATGGAACAGTTATGTTTTTTTTTCTATCTTTGAAGCTAAATGTGTGGTGAAGATTCATTCTCATCCATTTTTCCTTCTTATTAAGCATTTTCTCAAAGCAATGTTCAGATGCACTCCTTCCTTTCTGCTTCAGTTATTAATCCCCAGTACTGGCACTTTTCACAGGACTAATTTGATTAAAACAACATTATCTGTCAACAGATGGTTGGAGTTATTACTAAGGTGCAATTTGAACATGGCAACTTGAATGTAAATTACTTTATTTTCTATGTAGGGTAGAGTAATAG